AGTAAATGGACATACTAGTGGATATTGCAGATCAAGAATTATTATTTATATATATTAAAAAATTCGAATCGTGTAACGTCCAAATTTTTCCTAATGAATAAGTATTATTTTTATATTATTTTTATATTATTTTTATATTGAAAGGAGCTCTTTATATAAATCTACGTCTATTCACAAATGTAATTATGTTTTTACTTAAATAAATGGGTTTTTTTTTCAATTTTGTCATAAATAAAAAAAAAACTTGGTAATGATTTAAGCATTTTAACATAAAGTAAAATAGTAATTGTAATTGTAATACCTATATTAATATTACGAATTTGGTTTCCCGTTAAAAACTTGTTTGAAAAGTTTACCGGAAATTGATCGGATGTTGAACATATTGGAAATTGTCCAGTCAAATTTGGATGTTCTCTAAATTTGTAGATGTAAATCATAACCAAAATAATTTAATTACCTTGATCTTCAGCACGTAATAAACAAATTTTCTTTTTGGGAAATTAAATAATAATCATTATTGGGTTTAAGTAACATGGGCAAATCCAACTGGGGAGTTTTGTGTCCCATTCTATTGAAAGGACGCTATTGCTATATAATTTTTATGAAAACAGATACCACCAGTAGCAAAATTATAATGCACAATTACTATTAATCCCATGCTTACATTTTCTAGAACCAGTAAAAAAATAAATAACCAAATTAAGCAAAAATGAAGGCACCAAAACTCAATAGTATTTGTCCAAAAGAATTTTTTGGTTGAGCAGTATCAGCGTTGATTCAACCTAAACGAGAGGGAATAAAGGGTCAGATAATTGTGGATAGAAATTGACCAAAGACTGGCAATAAAACTTCTTTGAGGGCCCAATTTTTTAAAAACAAATAATAGAAAATTATCCTGTTTTAAAAAGTTCTTTATTACGAGAATCATTAAAGATTTTTGTGTGATCGTGTTGAGTAAACTCACTCAAGTCAAATTAGTTTTCTTATTAGATTAAATTTCTCTCCGGCAAGTAAGCAAATACGAGAAAGTCATTAACTTTGGACTCTTTATCTTCTTTTTTTTATTCTTGTGCTAATGGTCCATCATTTTATTTCTATTGTTCCTTCCTTGGAGGGCACTTTTTTTCAATAGAAATTTTTATATTTGGACATTATCACCTTTGGCAACGATAGCACAAAGTTTTATTTGTAAGTTGACTCGTTCTCATTCACTGTCTGAATTCCATACGGATCATCACCTCTGTTTAAAATACAAGTGATCGTATATAATGTGGCCAATGTAAGAATTGATGATGTTAAAGTTTGTACAGGTTGATTAGAGATGTTGGGCCAGAACAGGTCGATATAAATAAGTCATAAATTATAAAAGAAAAGATTCTGTTAACGACCGTCGTTTTGATTGTTAATAATGTTTATATTAGCTTCTAACATTTTAAATAATATAAGGATTTTTATGGTCAAGTTAATTTTCATTTTCCAAAATATTAAAATATAATTCTGATTTTGTTTTTTTCAATGTACTTGAAATTTCATTATCGTCATATGATTCCAAATAAAGTATTAAATTCTAAAAATCTTCATATATTCTTTGATATTGCATATTTGAGATTTGTTGATGAAAGACTAGACAATATAAGCTATGCTAATACAATCAACCTTTCTCTTGACCAGCTTTCCCTCACACAGAGACTTTTTAAAAAACAAATACAAGGGTTAATAATCGATATATAATCAGTATATATTTTGATCTTAATAATTACGCCAAACTGCCGGTCACTACCACGACAATAGTTTCGGTCATCAAAACAGCCAGGAAATAATCACATTACTATTACATAATCGAAAACTCTGGGGACAGTAATTTAATCAAACTCGGGTATTGTCAGTAATAATAGTTTTGCTGACCAAAATTTAATAGAATAATAACAATGATATGATTGATCAGAGTCCAATTATTTCTACGAGCATTAATCATCGGAACAATAATTTTGTTGGTCAAAATATTCATCAAAATTCTATTGTCGCGAATGATTTTCAATTGGTTTATTATTTTATTCTGTGACAATTACAATGTAATTTTTTTATTTTGTTTGTAAATCCGGTTGGGTTAATCACAAACATATAATAATTTACTGTGCTCAGTCGAGAAATATATATATAACTAACGCTTTGGTACATAATTATTTTCGAATACCAAATAGCAATTGTGATACACGGTACGTAATTACGTATTAGTATTATTAGCATTTATCCACGATTTTACTATAATAAAATTGTTGGGAAAGATTGGAATGCAAAAAATAAATTTTTAATTACAGACTGTAATTGATTGATTGACTGATAATTTATTTTTTATTATTATCTTGATTATCATAATCAATCATTCTCATCAAAAAACATGTTTATATAAAAAGTAAAATCAAACTATTTTTTCTTTAACGCACAATTCTCTCTTTTTTTTTTTTTAGTTATAAAATCATTAATATTATAAAATTAAAAAAAATCAAATTTAAAATTCGATTAATATAGTAATAACATTTGAGTAGGGAAGGGTAGTATTAGTAGGAGACGAAATTTTGCTTTAGAAAACAACATTTATTTTTATTGAATTTGATGTACAAGAAAAAACTTAAAATAGAAGTTATTGTAGTGGGTCATGCACCTTTTCTTAAAACATATGCAAGATTCTAGGATACAGCAGTGTCTAGAAGGTGTTCGCTTTAGGCGCCCTTCGTTCAATGCCATTGCTAGGCTTCTTTTAACATTACAGAATACCAATTGAATATAAGAAAGAACATTGGCAGCTGTTATATTAAATCAACACTCTATGATTATCTCGGGTTTGATTTAACTTTAGGCATTATTATATAGGGATATTTTAGAATCTTTAATTTTACGTGTTTATCAATTAAAAAACAAACAAATATGAGCAAAAGCAAACCGCCCTTAAAAGATATTATGATTCATAGATGCTTGAATCAATACAACATGTAGATTGAAGCGCTTTATTTATTCCGCAAGGCTTTGATTTTTGAAATGTTCGATCGTAATGAATGTCATATGATGATATTAACGATAACTTTATCAGGGCAAACATTTTCATTATGAAATAGTTCAACAAGAAGAAGGGAATGAATATTTTTCAAATGGTGATCAAAGTGTTATTCCGGTTTAACAATAATAATAAAATTCAAAGAAAATAAATTTTTATGCTATTAGATTTACGAACCTTCAATAGATTTGTTATTTAGGAAATAATAAAAAGTCAAAAGGGGTCAAGAAGTGAAAGGAGGGTGAGAGTAATGTCAATAAGAACAACAGTAATGCTCTAGGTATTATATGAGCAAGTATTATTAGAGCAATGTTAGAAACCATTGATTCGAAGTTCTAGTTTTTCTATAGTTTATAAAGAATTAAATAATGAGTCTCGTCCCATGGGGTGCTACAATCAAGAAAATCAGTTATGGTCGGCTCGGTTTAAAAACATCCTAAAGTTTGCACAAATTTTAATAAATATTAAAGTCACTTTCGTCCTAATAGTTGATAGTGTAGGTCTATAGCTTTAATGTAATAGATAGGTTTCTCAAAAAATTTATTAGTTGTAAAGTTCCATTCTTTTTTTAGTACATGTAGTTATTTTACTAATAAAGAAAAATCGCTTTTGTTGTAAACTGTTATAACTCATCATATTGATGAGATTTTTTAATTATGAAAAATGTAGAACATCTCGCTAAAACGTAACAGTGCCACAATATCTATTAACTTTCATATTGCAAATGTAATTTTTGCCATAAATTTTAGATGCCTATTACATAAACTGCTATAACTCTCATCATACAGATGAAATTTTTAAAAATGCTTTGAGCTCGCAGAACATATACCTATAACGTAACGGAGCCATTATTTTAAAAATATTGACGTACTTTCATATTGAAAATATTTTTAATTATTTTTGTCCTCCAAAGTAAACCATGTTTGATTTTATACATTTGCTCATACAAATTTTGAAGTTTCTAGTAACATTCCCTTCACACATATTTAATTTTCTGAGAATTTTCGGCAGCTCGCCTAATGTTGTTCTGCCTGGAAAACATAATGATGCATTCTAAAAATCATTCAGAAATAATAAAATGATCCAGAAAAATTTGTTCATACATTACACTAAGCAAATTTAAAATATTCTTAGAAATACTACACTCAGTAATAGTCTCACCTATAATTCTAGCTGTTTCTAAAGCTCACTATATGAGTACTTCTTGAAGTTTAATATCCATTTCTTCCACTTTCTCATCAATTACAAAACAATAATGTGGTGCAGCTATTGGTTCAGGTGACAAATCATTGAAAACACCATTTAACAACTCTGTTGAAACAATTTCATTATCTGACGTGATCTCAGATGCTATTCTACCCTAGGACTCAACCACCCTGTTCCCTGACATGTTCAAGTTCATCAAGTTGAAGAACTGGTTCTGCTTGACGAATCCTGTTTTTTAATGATTTACTATGTTCTAATAAATTTGTGTAATTTTCTGTTATTGATGGTCTTGATTAATCAGATGTCTAAAAATGAGAAGACAAATGTTGTTGATATTGATTTTAAAAATCTAATGGACCTAAAGAAAAAATATATTTATTACTCGCATTCTTTAAAAGTTAAATTTTTCAACGTCGACGCTCATACGTACTATTCGATCCAATGGCACACCATTTGAATGTTTTGCCTGGTTTCAAATTTGTGCGTTTTGTTTGTAATATTATTTAAGCGCGTCCACGCAGTGTAAAAAAAAGACGCATGATAAGGATAATCTTGAATAAAATTATAAACCATATCCATAACAAAAGGTTGATGCTCGATATCTCCAACAGGATCAAGATTTAGACATACATTGTGTTGTGAAAAAAAATTGTGCGTGAATTGTAAAATTGATTTTGACAATAAATAAATAAATGCGTTTGTTTACAAAGGAAACCATCCTTATTCTTTATTTTAAACCTTGCAAACATGTGTCAACGCAGAACTTGAAGCATAACGTCAAACGATTTTACATTATTGATGAATGGAGTTATGATGTTGTATGTAAAAATTGAAATCTAATTAAAATTTTGGGTGGGATGTTTGGATTAATGTTGTTTGACGAAATGTTGCCCAAAGTTGTAAAATTATTATAATTATGTCAAATTCGTTGCCATTAAGCCAAAAATGACGCAAGCAAAATTTGCTTTAAAGATTAATAAATTATAAAAGCTCTCAAAAAACTCATTCCAAGGTCTTTTTTTTTTATAATTTTCTTTGTATCCCAATCTCCTTTGTTTCATTAGTTATTCCCAAGGAGCCAGGTTTTTCTTTTGTTGAATACAAATTCAGTTCTCACACACTCATTTATACTAAACTCGAACATTTCTTATAACGTGACAGATAAATTATCGATTAGGAATTCGGTACTTTATGTTCCAGGGTCAACTAAGTTTAATTTACGCAAAAGCTTTTTTTATAATTATGAAAGTTTTTATAATTTCAATATTGATTGATTAAGTTATTTTGCAATAATAAACTCGTCTTTATCTTTGTCCTTATTGTAGTGATCTTTGCTTGAAAAAGTGTAACTTCGGGACCTCGCAGAGGAAATAATAGATAATTAGCATTCTAATAGAATAAAGCCCTGTGATAGATCATTATTTTTATCAAATAAAATTAATAGATAAAAACATTGTCTTATTTTCTTTGTTTAAAACGCTTTGATAAAAGCAGCAAGTCTTGATAAAAGACAACAATTGTGGAGTATTGGTAAAAAGTCACGTTTATTTGCTTTAGTAAGCAAGTAAGCAATGCTAGGGTTAACATTGGTTAGCCAATGAGTGTTGACAACGATTAGTAACGTAATTTGCTTTAATGAATTGGGTTGACTAGTGGGTGTGTTGATGAAGTATCATCTAAAGGTTAATAGGAAATACTAGTAATGTTATTGTAATAATAAATGTAAGGCTGTTAAACAAGCTACTTAATTTGTTTTGCAAGTAAGCCAAGGCGAGTTTGCAATCAGCCAATAATGTAAACAACTGAAATAAATCGATCACAAGGAACTTTATAGTGGGGCCATCTGGTACATTAGGTGTGCTCGCAAATTCGTCTATGTGCAAGAAAGACGGAACCAAATTAAATTCGTAAACTAATTAATTGACAAGCATTGAGTTATTTATAATTAACTGACAAGAAAGTTAACCATAATTGTTAATTAGCCGAAATGATACCCCGAAATATCACCATTTTACAAGTTTATAATTTCGAAAAAAATAAAGATAAAATAAAAAGATAAAGAATAAATTTATAGTGGAGATTAAATTAGTCATTCATCGCATCTTTTATTAATTAATTAATTAATTAATGTTGTTAGTAATAATTAATAGATAGTAATTCCAATTGATTAATAACGAAATTTTGTTTCCTTTGTTAAAATTCTAGAGAAAAAGGTTAAAATCAAGATTATTTAACGAACTATCATTACTTGTATAACTTTTAAAGCTTTTAGATTTAGCAATCTCTTCATCTAATATTCTACTTGTGTGATATGAATCTGGATGTGATGTGTGTGCTTGTTGCGAGGTACCACTACTACCACTACTACCACTGCTGCTGCTGCTACTATCATCATTAAAATTAATTTCATGTTTTTTGATTTTAGAAAATTTGAATAATCTTTTTATTAAACTATTATCTTTTAAGTTCTTATTTGTTAAACTTTTATTTTCAAGAATTTCATTATGTTTATTATCAGCAAAACTACGCAGCTCTCTACTAGTTGGTCTTTTTGATGGATCCACATCCCAACACCTCTGCATCATTTGCACATAATCATCAGGAATCCCAGATAGTATTGGTGGTCGTAAACCTTCACATATGTCAAAAATTAAACAAAGATTATGACTTCTATCATCAAATGGCGGATGGCCTGCAAATATTTCCCACATTAACATCCCAATACTATAGATATCAGATTCTTTTGTATTCTTTGCATTCTTTTCACATCTAAGTAGCTCGGGTGAAACATATGACACAATTCCATAGATTTTATTTGATGACTTTTCATCAACTGGTCCACATAGTCCTAAATCTGGAATACAACAACAACCTCCTTGCACAAGTATATTACCACTATGTAAATCACAATGGATTAAATCTTTTTCATGCACATTATCTAATGCAGCACACAAATATCCAAAGATTATAATTCTCTCTTTTAATGTTAAATTTAAATGATTTTTTTGCAAATAATCCCTTAAATTTCCTTCTGGCACATAATTTAAAACCATTGCATAATTTCCATTGTCTGGGAATTTAGTTATACCATAACAAGTAACAATTAAATTTGACTTAATTTTACAATAATTAATTGCCTGAAATAAATATAAAATCAATTAGTATTATATAATGCAATATTGTTTATTTTGTTTTAAATAAAAACCACCAACCTCATCAAAAAAGCCTTTTCCTGGATTATTTGAATCATTTAAACTTTTTAATACTACTAGTTGTCCTCTACCTCCGAAATAACTAAATTCCTTTTTATTTTTCGTCATAATCAACAATACATCCTCTTGTCCATTTAGCTGTATAAATCGAACTAAATCCACCTTCAGTTAATTTTGTTATATCTTCAAATTGCTCAAAAGGTATCCATTCTAAAATATATCTTGGCAGAGATGATTTTATTTGACATTGTTGAATAAAGTTATCTACAATGCTATTTCCAGATGTCCAAATGGTGAAAAGACTTTGTAATTGTAAGCTAATACAACTTTCACAGAATACATCGGAGTATCTTGTCAATTTACATTCGTTACATTCTTTTGGTTTGCCTTCTTTATACACTGCATTATCTAATTCAAAATCATAAATAAACTTTTCTTTACAAGATTCTTTTTCATTTTCAGAAAGTTCCTTGTTTTTTTTGACCAATGAAAAAAAATAATTTTTTCTACTTTCTCTATCAGAATTAATTCCTGGATTATGATATGTTTCACTATAAATTTTATATACAAAATCCTTTCTTTCTGTTGATAATAATTCAGCATATGACATTATAATATATAAATTTGACTTGATGTTTTGATGAATAGAGTGGAGATTTTTTTTGAGAATAGCATAAAAGAAAGAAAAGTTGCCGTGTTCCAAATATTGTATATAGATTTTTATATTTGTGTAATTTTTTCATATTAAATGTTTGGTTGCACAGGAAATTTTTTTTTGTAAAGACTCGTTAAAACTTAAAACAGTAAATTCAGTGCATTTACAGTAATAACGAATCAAAATCTTCTAAATATTTTGTTGCTCAACTTTAGAAACTAGAAAAGGATAAATGGTTGCGGTTATTTTTACATCGACGTATCCATTGCTATCTATTTTTTTTTCAAAACGTAAGGGTTGAAAGGAAATAGTGTTTCGCTTTGAAATTTTTTTTTTTGCAGCGTCTATCGTTGTCTACGGTCAAGTTTTCGTCTTGTCCTGACGTTTCAAACCGTTCAAAATGACCAAAAGCTTATGGAATTGCCTTGGAGCCTTTACCTCAGATCTCAGATAGTCACACAACGTGTTAATGTTAGTATATTTTCGAGTCCAGGTTCAAAAACACCTTTTTATATTTTATTTTGTTGCTGTTACTATTATCCGTCAATTTCAATTCAAATGATCGATATGTACAAATTTTTTTTGATTTTGACCATTTGAGAGATAATGGATGATCTGGATAGGAAAATTTTATTTTTAATTTCCTCTCGGAGAAAGCATAGAACGCCATTTCGGCACTACGTGTCTCGACCCTCGAATTTGAATGCAACGTAAAAAGCAAAACCAATGCACCGTTTTTTGGTCTACGAATGGGGGTAGCGGGTCTATCTATACGTTTTTGTTGTAATTTATTAGACTACTCGATCAATGCACCATCTGGTCATGAAATAGTCTATTTTTATTAAGATTGCATCATTGATCATGAATACATGATGGGATGCTAAGATACTTCGCATCCAGTGCTAATTTTGATACTCAAAAACGAATATATATAAATATGTAAGTAATCGAGCCATGTGATTTTATAATACTGTGACACCAAAAAATATCATCGCACGTTTTTGTTTCTTTGCAGAGAACTGGTGGTGTAACAAACAATTTTTTGTAAAGCATTTTTTATAGTTTATTTAATTGCTTTGAAAAGGATGTAAATTGAAAAGCGAAAATTGCATTATCCAAAGAACAACTTCATTGTTACCAAAACTTTAGTGATCGATTTATCGTGATTCAACAATAAAAGAATTTCAGCATTCTTTGAAGATTTAAAATGATATAAATAGAAAACAAATACAAAATATATACCAAAACCTGTCTTATGTGCTATGTAAAGGTCGCTCTAACTAATATTGATTAAGCTATGTTGCTTCAAACTCTGACAGCTCAAACATATTACTAATATTATTGCGTATTACTATTACGCGTAGATAACTTCAAAGTCAAAATTTCCAAAAAATACCAATTTAACACAACTCATATGTACAGTATATCCAGCTTTGCATAACGATCCTTCACAACTTTGAACAACAGTAATAAAAAATTGTATCTCATTAGGAATAACTGATGTTTTCATGCCAATGCGAATAAGATACAAAATAAAAACAATGGCAATATCATTTGAATTAAACAATGATCGGTAAAATTCACTACTTAAGTCACGTGTTACGAAATAAGTGAAAAAAACATTGTGTTGCTTTAGTTTTTACAAAATCCCGAATTTTTTCATTGATTTTTTAAGAAAAGATATTCAAATATGGAGGACGGTGTTACTTTTTTCTTCAAGATGAAAATATCACTATAAAGGACTTGACATATGGGTAAGCTTTCATGTGGTGATTATGGAAGGGTTGGTCAATAAGTTTTTACAAACAAAATCTTGTATATTAGACACCAGTAGAACTAACTTTGTTAAAACGTGGACATCAATGTCTAGACACGAAGTGCTTTTGTTCCATATCATATTCAATAAATCTATACGTGTAACATATACCACAGTCAAAGCTCATTATAGTTCCATACACTTGAACTTATTTTACGAAAGCATACATATAGTAAAGGAAGTTTTTTTACAAGTTAACTGACACACAGGCCTCGTTTTCTCATATGTTGATGATTGTACAATTGGCAACTAGTTATAATACCTTTCTGAAGAATTTGCAACTATGTTTATTTGATTCTCTAGAACAGATAGAGACTTAGCATCATCTTTTGTAATCAAGTTGGAAAGCCCGATCCAGAACTATAATAAAAATGCCATTTAGTATCAAAAATTGAAGAAATAAAATGTCATTGAAGATAAATTTGGATCCTTGTATAATTCTTTATCCCTAAACCTCTTTTCCTTAAAAATGATATAGGTTATGAAGAAAAAGCATAAATAAAAGCACAAGTTGTAAGCAGTATACCAAATGTCTCTCAAATAGGTAAATAAATAAACAAAATGGAACGAGTGAAAATAATTTTTTCTAATCGTTTATATTCTCCTCCACTTCTTCTTCGATTAATCTTTCTCCTTGATCCTCCAACCTCTTCTTCTGTTCATCATTCTTTCATTCTTCGTTCTCCAACTTTTCCCCCAATTAATTCAACCTCTTCTTCTTTTCCCACTCCTCAATCTTTTCAAACTTCTCCAACTTCTCTTCGACTTTTTTTAATTGTTCTTTAATTTCTTCGATAGTTTATTTTTTAACAATTAATTATAACTCGACCAATAGTAAATGAGTTACTAAAATATATGGGATTTATTTGTGGAGATAACAATTCAATAAAAGATAAAAATTGTCAGAATACTTGCATGAGAGGAAAATATTCGGACCCCAAAACCAATGCGAGTATTAATAGTAAAACTTTTTAGTGAACCAAAAAAAAAAATCATCGCTTAGTTTTAAAACATGAGTTATTATTATTAAGAAAATTTTGGCCGACTTATCGAATTTACATTTGTAATTTGGTTATAAGAATTTCTCAAGATCAAAATCATTCTTGGTGTATGGACGTCATTGTAAATTAGCAAAATGGTTTTAATCGAACTTGCTCCCATATTATTCTATCTACTTGAAGATGCAAATAAATCTTTTTAATTCTCAAGTTGAATGAGTAGTGTGTATATACGCAAATTCGATGAAAAAACGATTCTTGGTTTGAACTTAATGTAATTAAAGTTATTATCGAAAGTAGTTTTCCAAGCCAAACCAAGATAATTAATTGATTTGACTAAATTTCTAATTAAGATTAAAAATACTTTTTTAAGTTCAAATTATTACAGATTTATTACGCAGGACGAAATGATTTGTCACAACCTTTTATCTTATTACTGGTTGTGTAGATCCTTTAATTCTTCCAAGACTAGTTTCTCAAAAATTAGCGTCGTGGCACACAAGTTAAGCGACTACTATTATTTTCCCACAAAGGAATTATTATCTAATCATTATTGAAATGTGATGCTAATAAAACCATTAAAGTTATCACTAACCCTTATTCTTTTATGTGATGTAATGCCCATATAATAATAAAATCTTATTAGAACAGCAACTACCTACCTATATTAATGTCGATAAACGACTAATATATTAATATTAATAATTATGTGGTAGATCTTATATATAATGAAACATGGATTATCATTCGACGAAAATTTTTTTTTGATCTCAACGTTAACAATGTTATGCATGACAGATACATGCTTTGTCATTTACTGATTTGTAAAGATAGTTCTCATACGACAAACTAGAAACAGGTTCGGGGGCTTGATCAAGTCTTTTACACCATTTGATATTATTATCAGATGGCCACAAACAATCAAAAGTTGTGTGCGCAGCAACTATTTATATATTCAAGGAGACAAATTTTATTTTGGGGGAAAAGTTTTTTAAAGAAAAGTCACAGCCACAATATTATCACATATTATCATATTTGTTATTTTATTGAGTTTTAAAAAATTGTTATTATGTATACCACAATATTAAAATTAATAAAAAACCCCCTTATTAGAATATTATTAAAAAAATATATTTAATATTAATATATTAATATCTATTTACAGAAAATTAAAAATAAAAATTGTCCAAAAATCAAGTTTTTAATTTAAATTCTATTTTTATCATAAATTGTTGCTTCTTTCAAAATTTATAATGAATTTCTTACAAAATCTGTCTTGATGACTCGTAATACCAAGATCACTTTTTTTATTCTTACAAAATTTTTTCTCTTTTGCTGCCAAGTAAGTGATGATTGCCTGATCTTGACGATGATTTATACGACTACTACCTTCTGGCGCTATACAATCTTTGACCAGGGCACATCTGTACCAGCCATCAATTAATTTTTGTGCTTTACGCGTATCAAATGACATTGATGCTCCATTACAATTTGATATTCTGTTGTATTTGTATTGGTTCACTTCGTTGTAATACTTGTAGACACCGGGATGAGTCCAAGTTCTCATGTTACCGGAAGATCTGGGTGATAAGAAACCTTTATTAAGTTTTAATTCGCTTTTTAAACGTCTAAAGTATGATTTATCGACAAAAGTACCACTATCCAACCAAGTTAATATCAATCCAGGGTAGTCACGTGAAATTTCGGCTACTATTGCAGGCTTCCAAGCATATTCACCTCTTGATATGGTGATGTTAAAGAAACTTGGATAGTATGCATAATTGAATTTTCTTAACTCTGTCAAGAAACCCCTTTCCTTTAACCGGTTCAATTCTTCAACTTGTTTCTCGGAAAATCCCAAATCGTAAACGATCATACGAATACGGTATTCGGCTAATTCGTCACTCATTCTATACAAGAAACTCTTCATCGGACAAAAGTGGTTTTCGCTTGCACCAGTCGCTATAGTAAAATCATAATCGTCATTTTCGGTATTGCTAACGAGATCGTGTTTGAAAGGGGGAATATAAAAATTATCACTGCTATTGATGGTAGTAGCACTCTCTTCATTATCGTAGGTTTCGTCAAGATTATCGTCAGGATCGATATATTGTTGAAATTGTTCGTAATTATTTTCATCTGATACATCTTGATCTTCTTCGTGATTAATTATCGCTTCGTTGCTTTTAAACATTTTTATAACCTTTAATGGTAGTGGTGGAATTGGTCTGTGCATATTTTCTTTTGTGCATATATCACATGATGAGTCTAAAGAACGATTAAAAGAGTATGAGAGCGTGAGAATGAGCAAGGATGAAACAAACAAAACAACAACAAAAAAAAACCAAACAAATAAAGATAAATGATAAATACCAGCGATAATCCAAGGCTCCCAATCTGGCAACATTAAAACCCATAATTTCATGAGCAGTATCAGAAATATTAGCACCAATACTAGGATTTGAAGATGTTGAATTAATCTATGTCTAATTAATACATTTCCAGTGTGCTTGTGATTTACACCAATTATATAAGGTCTTTTCATTGATCGTTGTTTTTTTGAAAACATTATTTAATATTATTGTTGCTACTTATCAATTAACCAGAGAACTCTTTTTTTATAAAAGCAGCAAAAAAAAAAAAATAAAAAAAAAATAAAAATTTGATTGACTAATTAATATAATAATATATTATACAATTTAATTTTTTTATATCATAAAATTTTTTTTTTACAATGACGAACGTTAAATGGACAAAAAAAATTTTTTTTTTATTTTTTATTTTTTGAAAAAAAATTATTTTTATTATATTTATATTTCAAACATTAAGGATATTCTAAGCCATATAGGAAGGAGAATCTTTATATTTATCCGTGTATATTATATATTATTTAAGATAAGAAAGATAAATATAATTGTTTTATAAATAGTTTAAATGTGTAAACTTGTAGCTTCTAAAATTAGAAAAGAAATTAATTCGTTAAACAAATAAATGAATTTTTTACAAAATGAATTTCACTAAATGAAAAATTTTTATATTATTCTATTTACTTTTTTACATGTTTATTTATATTCATTTAACATTCGTGTTCAAATTTCGTTTCTTGCATGTTTATATTCTATATTTTTATAACAAGTATCCCAAAAAGTAAATACAATAAGATTGTTTACTGAATTAATAAATAATATCCTGGACTAATATTAGTTCTGAAGTTAATGCTAGTAACGCTTTGCTATTATTTAACTTTACTATTTTACTTTTAACTTTGTTCTTTTTTATCGCAACTTTATCAAGTCATATCAGTCAGCATCCAATTAACACTTATTATTGTATAATATATAAATATACAATTTAATCGATAAATAATATTGTGTTATTATTTATTGTGTAAATTATTATTTTCATGAAACGAAAGGAAAAAAATAACCTTCTTTAGAATATTCCAGTTTATGCTTTATATTAAAATTGTAAACTCATCACCATAATTATTAATTATATGGGCTTTTTTTTTTTTACTTTGTAAAAATACACAATTAGATTAACTTTTCCTAAAAAAAACCATCTCACTTTCAGCAAGAGAAAAAAATTCTTTGTTGAAAAAATTAACCAAATGGAGTGGAATCGGTTAATTTACTTAGATGACAATCAATTCGGAAATTTTTCAAATAAAGAAATCCATTCATACAATAAGAAATGTCTGATATTTAATTTCTCACTATTAAAAAAATAAGGAAGTATACCACTAATTACACTAATTAGCAATCTTTTGTACGACTTCAAAAATTCTTTCGTCCAATTAATCCAATCAAATTTAATTTAAATAAGTCTATCTATTCATTTGTCAAAAAAATTAGCCTAATTAATATAATCCATATAATCGCAGTCGTGTAATCTACCAAACATCACATTGAAAGGTCCACACCACCCACAAATATCACTTTCACATACAATTCTTCTTCCCAATCTCTAAACATATATATCATGTCATATAATACACACTATCGCAATTACACACTGCATGTATGCACGTACGCACGCACACAATACAATACTAAATATATTAAATAAAATAACTGCTATTTTTTTTTTTTAAGAATCCATCAATTTTTGATATTTGAAAACTCAATTTATTAAAACTTATCATATGTAACAAACACAATTTAGGTTATAAATTTTCAATTTGTTTTTGTAATGCATAATTTTTTTTAGTGTTAATTTTTGATTTCATAGTAAGTTGCTATATTTGTAATAATCTGTGATCAAATGTTTGTTTATTTTATAATCATTCAAATCATTCAAATTATACAAAATCATACTGTATGTCGTTACCAAAGAATTACTTCTAGAGTTATTGTTATGAAGAATTCTAAATAGAAGTGTCTAAACAATAAAATCAATAAAATCTTTTTTAAAATAATCAGTAATACTTTTATTAACTTCTAAAGAAATAAGTTCTTTCAGTAATAGTAAGATAAATTTTACATTTGTCCAATGTGATCGGTTAACATTTGAGGTTGAGATGTATCTTTACAAACAATTAATATCAAAATCAAGCTTACACTAAAATCGTCATTTGATGATATAGATATTTCATCGCCATATTTTTTCTTTGACGATGGCAATAATACCATCTATGTATATCACATCATTATATGAAAGTCGTTTCCAGTAAAGGATAATTGATACATGTCAATATTTAAAATAGTAATCACTATTAATAATAAATTCCAAACTTCCTAATTAGTAATTCATAAAAGTTAAAATTACCTGTTTGATATATAATTTTATACTTACAAGTTTCTTCCTGATTTTTTAAATTTCCCAGGCATTCACACAAAAACATTACATTTTAACTAGTTAGATTAGATTTGTATATAAATACATGCATGTGATGTCACTATATACAATGTGTAACAGTAACAAAAAAAGTTGGATTCGCAAAAACCTTTATCACCACTACTACTACCTGTCTAATCAAATCCGATAATTAATTTTGGGTAATTTGCTTTTAAAATGTATAATAGAGTTGAATATTGTTGGTTTTTTGTAATTACATTAAAAGAGAATACATTCACCCCACAAATTACACAAATTACAAGATCTCATTCTCAAATTTTATTTTCATACTAATAAGTTAAAAGGAACAGATGATGATATGGCTTATAGAGCGAGTTAATGATTTGAAGAAATGGGAACACTGCTGAAATCACATGATATTCAACAAGTTTTTAAAAACTTTGGCAACCAAATTATCATAGAGGTTAAAAGCTTCAAGACTTGGGACAATTTATCATTGAAAAGTGGGACCTAATTCCTGATTTATTTTAATTTGACCAAAAAATCAAAATGTCAGCACGTAATTAAAAGCAATGGTGAATGTGTTATATTAAAGCATATTCAATAAAAAATTCTGCTTTTTTAATCAATCAAATGAGCTATTTTTACTACTGTATATACATGCATTTATTAGAATAATACTTGAATATCAAAATAATTGAGGCTCGTTCATCTGAATATGGTGCATTGATTCTTTCACCTTCCAAATTCTTTACACGAGAAGAATCACAATCGTAGATGATTCGAATGCTTAAATATATTCTATTTGTCCATTAAATTAAATAATAATAATAAAATTTCACAAATTTATTTTTTATTTAGAGAAAAGATTTACATCAACAAAAGAAAGTTTCACAGGAATTATCACCAAAAGCTATGGCTATTTAATAGGCCGAATTAGGCATTTGTCTGCAAATGTAAATAATAACAACTTGCTCTGTACGGATAAACTAAACTTCCGTTTAATTGAGTGTGAGAGGCTCACAAATATCTAATTACTATTCTAACATTGGCTGCATTTTATTTTCTTGTAAAAGATTTTCATCATTTAATAATGGTTATTATTATCTAAATAAATTTTTTTTTTTGAACTTTATTATTATATTAATCATCCGTGTTAACAATTATAACAATGTTAATAAATAGTAATTTGTTTTTTAAAATAACAATCAATCAGTCAATAAAACTGATGATTTATTGCACACAACATATCTATTTCTTTGATTTCTTGTGAATTTTAAAACATGACAATTGGAATATGTTTGTTCACGTGATAGAAGGGGCGTCTTTGCAACTTCATGCGCTTGATTTGAGTTGATTTGGTGGAATGGGTGCTTTGGTTGAACTTTGTAAGTTTTCCTTTATCTAGTTATTATAATCATTATTATCACCATCTCTTAATATCTTTAACATTACTAATCATTTATTTGTTTGAGCGATCTTTTTGTTTAATTAGTTCTCGGCAAAAAAAGTCTAACATATTTGGTAAATCAAATGGGTTTTTTTTTTCAAATAATAAATTCATTTCTATTTAAACTAAATTCTCAATGAATGAATATTAATTAATACAAAAAAAAAAGGATAATGACAATGATTTTCAAGTGCTGCTTCTTATCTTTCAAAACTGATTTTCTATCTAGCTTCCGTATTTAGCAAAAATATTCTTTTTAATACTATATTACAGATTACATGTTATACATAACTCAAGCTTAAATAAAATCCAAAATAATTGTGGATCAAATTTTTAACTTTTGATCTGCACTTGTGTTTTTATTTTTAAAATAAAAATAGATTATTAATCAATCTTATTTTCGTGTTTAATATATAGAATAAATAAAATAGTAAAAGCCCGATTTTACGATTATTATAAAAATATTGCAAATTTGGCTGGATTTGTAAGTGCGAGCAATAAATCTAAATTAACACAATCGTTTGTATATAAATATTTTCGATTATTGTGTCTCATAAAAATCAAAGACGACAACAAAATATCCGCTATCATATAGAAATCGCACAGTTGATTACCAGATCGACTATACTTTTTTTTATTCAATCAGATAATAAATATTGCTATGTAAAGTTGATGACGGAACGGTTTGATATGAATTTTAATATTATTAATCTATTTGCGTACAGTTTAAAAATTTTAAACCGAACGAAGGAGGTTTAATTTTCTTTTGCTATTCATTAACTTAAAAAAAAATGATTTCAAAGATGAATTGATAAAGCAATCTTGTACGCATAGATATGTGCTATTTACATCATTCCTGATTTTTCTCGCATGGACACATGATGCCTTTTGAATACTAATAAAAGTATTATTAATCAAATAACTATAATAACGATAGAGTGGATGACGATAAAAAATTTATTTGTAAACTAGAAAATAATTAAAGACAAACAAACATACACTCAGATCTCATCATATTGGTGGTTACACAATACTTATGGATGAGGATTTGGGAGTTGCTTTCAACATAAAGATTTTGAAGCGGTGGCAACTTTTCATTGAGATAGACAACTAATTTTAGATCCAAAATTTTCATGTAGTGAAAGTAAATACTATCATTCAACGATAAAGTTGTATTCAAAAGATAGATTTGTGATAATAAAAGCATGTTATTAATAATATTATCAAGAACAATAAAAATATTTTAGGAAAGGGTTCCCTGAACACTTTAATCATCTTGTATGTAATATCCAAAGATTAAATCAAAAAATGTAATTGGCTTA